CTGCAGGGCTTCTATGTACATCATGTCCAGTATGTGTATGTCTGCTAACGAGTGAAAGGCTACAGGTTTGAGATCATACATTATAGGGAAAAATAGCCGTGCAGTATGCACGAGTTCTCGCTAGTTATTAGATAATGAGTTCATTTGAAAAGACTTTGACACGACACCTATCAAAGAACGTCATAGGATGCAGGTCCTGCAGGACATCCAAGTAGAGATGTGTAGGTCTGCCGTACCCTAACCAACAGGGTAGAGTAGGGCAATGGTAAGCATGTTCCAGGGTAGTGTAACGTTAGAGTTAGAAAATATTTGTCAGTTAGGTTACTGAATGAGAAAGAAAAGCTTACTCTGCATATCTATACACCTAAGTTACCTAACTGATCGCGATCCAATGAAGTTCTGTTCTAGTGAAATTCGTCGTGATTTTTCATTATTATCAATAGTAGTCAACGCTTATTTAGCTCATTTAGATTGACATTTACTCCAATATGAGCACGTTTATCAGCAAGTCAAATCGATACCATATTATTTATTCATTCATACGAGAAATTTAAGAACAATCAGTATAAAGAAAATTTATCTTTCCTCGTTTTCATTTGTTTCTATGGATCGTATTGTGAATCTTCCATTCTTATCTTTGTTCACCTTATGGATGTCAAAAAGTTCTTTGTTCATTTTTTTCCTAGTGGAACACGTATGATAAAGTTTATTAACAAGATTATTGTGAATGATTTTTTATATAATTAGTACTTTTATAATACTTGGCATCGTACATTATATTCATACAACTTTTTATCCTTGTTAAAAATAAAATAAAAAGATCATCCTGCAGAACGAATTTTTTCATGCTCTATCCTGTGTTCTGGAAAAATAACCGCTAAAATCTGCATAGGACATGCCAAAATTATCGAGATTTGCCTGTATAGTTCGACACGAAAGGGTCAATCGAATTTTTATTTCCTTTAAAACTTAGAAATAATGTCCCTTATTATCGACAAATGATTTAATTTATTGTATTAATTTATCAGGAAAAACATTCTGGTAATATAGATTCTATTGAGTGTTATTGTTGATTATGATTACTACAGTGATTTGAAATTTCTTTCACTCACTCGATTTTATTTCTGAGCATCAAATAATCCTTAATTACATGCTACGAACTCTCGAAAATTAAATGATAATATAATTTAGATATCTGCAAAGTCACAGAATATCAGAGCTTCGTTATAAGTTTGTGTCTTCTCGTTAGCAAATCGAAGCTTGACATATATCATTCTTTGCTTTCTGGTCCATTCAAATGGGTTTGTAAAGAATTGTGAATGAAATGATTATGATTGACAAGTCATTCTTGCTTAACAAGATTGATTAAAGCAGTGACAGTTGCCCTATAACACTTGCTCTGCGATGCTTTGAATAGAAAATGAATATTTCTAACCATATGAAGGAACATCACTTCGCTAACTACTCAGATGGCATATCACAAGTTGCGACTGATTCTTTTTTGATAAAAATTAGGAATGATTAGATATCACTACATTACAGAATCGATATATTTCTTGTTCGAAATTTTAAAAATTTTTCATATATATTCAAATCCACTCAATCGATCGAAAAATCAGTTGTTATTTTTTGAAGCTGCTGATGATTTTAAACTGTTTTCTCAATGAGGATACAACACAAACAAGTTGTAACTTACATTATATCAAAAGTAATATGAGAATAATATTAATCATTTCTTGAGTGTACTAAAAAATAGAGAAATAAAATCAAGAGTAGACATTAATTCAGCATTTAGTTTTTTCTGTTAAATGTGAAATGTAGTACATGTTTCATTAATATACGAAAGAAAATTCTTGTTATTTTCATAAAATATGTTTGCATCAATTACATTGATATTTTTTCTGTATAGCAATATCTATCAGATGAAGAATAATGATGTATTAAAGAAATATAGGGCACAATTAGTGCTACAAGTTTATGAGAAAAAGAGTTTTCTTCAAGCTTCATATACAGCAATATGATATCAACAGCTATACTTTTGGTATGCCCTAAGTGAAGTTTCGGTTAACGAGAAAATTCATGTCGATATTGTAAAACAAAAAACTCAAAAACGGAATTAACTTAGGGATGCACCACTTCCAATTCTTAGATTGGTTGGAATTGATATTGGAATTGGAATTGATAGAGATTGGAATTGGGTAGAATTGGTTGGAATTGTTAAGAATATGGCTCGAGTAACCTAAAATTCGTATGAAAACCTAGGAATTGGTATGGCGTTGACCTGAAACTGGTTAGACTTGGTTTGAACTGGCTATAATTCATATAGAATCCTAAGAATTGTTAAAGAATTGGTCTGAAACTGGTTCGAATTAGATCGTATTGCCTAAATTCGTATGGAACCCTAGATATTGATATGGAACCGGTGTGAAACTGGCTCGGATTTGCTTAAGCTGGCTATAATTCTTCTGGAATCCTAGGAATTGTAGGCGACTCGAGCCAGTTTAAGACCAGTTCCTAGGATTCTATAAGAATTCTAGATAACAACCCAATTCTGGTCAATTCCACCCAATTTCAGCCTAATTATAGCCAATTCCAGATAATATCATGCTGACTCTACATCAATTCTAACCAATTCCAATTTCTACCAATCCCATCAATTCCAAGCCAAGAATTGGAATTGGTGCATCCCTAGAATAAACTCATGTTCTACATGTTGGACAGCATTATTTTTTTTCTACTGTCTTGCAAATATAGATTTGCCTTTTGGATTTCTTATTATTTATCTATGTGTCAGACAAAGTTGAGATTCAAGCAAAATGAAATAGATTTTTTAAAAGATTCAATTCTAGTTTGTCTTAACAAAGTCCAACCAAAAAGAAACGATCTTTAACCTTCTATTTATTTAAATAGTATTTCTTATCAATGTTTATCTGTCTTTGATTTGACTCATAGATAATAAATATATTGATTTGCTTATTCATAAAATATGTTCGAACATCATTTTCCTAGGCAATAAAAATTCGAATTTATTTTTAAATAAAAGAAAATTATTTCGTAATTTTACGCCTAATTAAAAACGAAACTTACCCAAGTTATTCTTACCTAAAATTCAATATTGTCTGTGACATTTATATAAATAATGTTCGTATATAAATCAGACAGTCGAGTGTCTGAAAGTGTGTCATGAATATTCATATTTTGAAGCAATTTTGTAATTTAATAAGAAAATATATTTCATCTATGTTGAATAAATGCTACTCAAAAGTTTCAATGAGAAAATTCTTGTTCCAATAATTGAATAAATTTTGTTTGTTTTAAAATATCTACTATGAACTGATATGTTCAAAATTAGACGTTTAACTAAATATGAATAAAAGTTAAAAACAAATGTAGTGATGGAATTTATTTTTTTAATATATAAAACAAAACAAATAAAAAATTTTTATTTATTTTCTTTTTGTTTTTGTTGTTGAATTTTATGAAGTAATAAATCAATTTGTCCTTGCATAACAGGTTGACCACGACGTGTTTTTTTAACTAATTTTTTTAAACGAGATTGTTTATTTGCTTTATATCGAGCCATAGCAGTATTGATTGCTTGTTGATTAGCTTCTTTTGTCTTTAAAAAAAGAAAACAGAAAAACTATTAGCCTATTTTCTGTTCGATTAAAATGTGAAACACGATTTAATTGCCGGAGATGTTCACGAGAAATTAAATTTATCCTGTTTTTCTTTTATACCCTTCAAGTAGAGTTCTGTACGGAATCAACTAAACTTATTTGAACAGTAGGTTTTATTGTCTGGTATTTTTCTAACGCTCCAATAATCTGTTATAGAAATATTCGGGCACGAAACAAAGTTGGAGTCAAATTCAACTCTGTTTTTTTTTGGGGGGGGGGGGGGGGAAGGACTTTGATTTTCATTCATGTCCATAGGTGTTGATAAAACGTCACTGGAATATCCAAAATGCATTAGTTTATACAGTAAATATCAGAGAATAAAACCTACTATTTCAAAAAAAAATATTGTATGTTAAAACTTAATTTTCGGCAAAAATTTACTTGACTTTGTGAAGAACTTCATTTTCAAGCTACTATGACTTTCATATTTTTTATCCATTAGTCTCGTTAGGTTCTTCAACCATATCCAAAGGACTAAAGGAATTAAAATGGTAACGAAACGTTATTGATATATGATCGATGATTGTATATAAACATTTGTTACCCGGGGAGGATCATGTTGCTAACATGTCTGTGGAGAGAAGTCCAAATTTTTACCCATGTACTTCAACACTCCTTTTAAATCGTGTTTCACAAAAAAAATAAATAAATAAATTACTTGTTTCGCTTCTTCTTTTTCTTGTTTACGTAAAACATGTGCATCATGAATTTTTTGATTATGTGATTTTCTTTTTTTATTTTCATGAAAAGATTTTAAATTATTTTTCTTCATTTTTCTAGAATAGAATAATACAAACAAAAAAACTGATTGTAATATTGATTTATTTTATTTATTTCCGGTTATAATTTTACTAAATAAAAATTATTCTGTTTCAAACTAGTGGTAAAAAAGGAAAAAGAACACGATTTTTAAAATCAATTCATTTTGATGGAGTCCATATTGGTCGAGTTGATGATGAAGCAATTAATAATTTATTTGTACTAAATAGTGAAACACCAATTCCAACAATTGACATTAGAACAGCTGCACTAAATGATAAACTTTTTCTATTCATTGTAGAATTTGTTAGATCATATCTCTAAAGAAAAACAAAAACAAAATAAAATCGAATTGACTTTTTTTTTTGCAAGAAAAAATTTACATTAAATAATCGTAATCCATTTTTTGTAGCTATTCCGAGTACCATCTTTACTCAGGAGATTGTCTATTGAAAATCAATAATTCTATGAGAGTGATTAGTTTCAAAAACAAAAAATAAATGAAATTGATTGGTCTTGTTATCTAATCAATCATTTCTATTATTTCTTTTTTTTTGATAGATAAATTTTATTTTTATTTTTATTATTTATCATCAAATTATATTTTATTTAGTTATTTAAATTAATTTTTCTTTTCAATAGAATAAATTCATTTGATTGGTCCACATAATTAATCCAGATTTTATTCAATATACTCAAGATAAGAAAAAATTTATTACAAAAACTTTTTTTTTTGTTTTCAATATGGATGACGAGTTTCCTTCTCAAACAAGACCATCTATTTCTCTAATAAATCCTGAATCTTCTTCATTTGAACCATCATCTTATTCTCAACATATTCAACCTACTACAAATGATCAATATGATAATTCGAATTATTATTCAACAACTATTCATTCAATAGAACCGTCAGAACAAATTTCATCACAACCACATTATATTCAAGAAACAACATCAGATAATCAACATCCAACAAGTTCATACCATATTGAACCAGTGAATACTTCTCATCATGATGATGATAAGAATGAACAAAATACAAATCAAATTCCTTTTCGACAATCAACTAATATTAATAATGAATCTAATTTTGATATACAAACAAATCTTAATGATCAATCAAATGAATTCAAGTGAGTTACATTTATATGAATTACTTAGGATTGATCATTCGATGTTTTAAATTTTATAAAATAGTTAATATCGAAAGTTTTCATAGTAGAATGTCTCGTCTATAATAATGCACATACGTAATAGAACAAGATATTGAAATAACACTACATATTGCACCATGTGACTTTTGACTAAATGATTATATCAAAAGTAATTTGACTGATCAAACAAACGAAGAATCGCTAGCTTAGCAAGTTTCCAAGATAGTGAAGAATATTCGAGAAAAAGAGTTTAAAAAAACTTTCGACAAACTGTTAGAAAGGATGGAAATTTGTATAAATAATAATCTATATATATATAGTGTTCAGTGTCTGTCTGTGCCAGGTCAAAGATTAAAGGTCAAATGAGGATATAAGCGGAAGGTCCAAGGACTACTATATTAGAAAACCTATAGGTTCTCAAGGACTATGTTATGGGGGTACCCATAGATCCTTAAGGCCCCCCCACCACTCAAAAATCGATCTCAGCCCACGAAAGTTCAAATAGGCTGAAACTTGGAGCATATGTTGGGACTGAAGTGAGGAGGCTGTGATAAAATTTTCAGCTCGATACCCTAATGTTTGACAGAGATATGAAACAAACAAGGGCCAAAAATAGCTCATTTGGCAATCCATTTTTCTTTGTCCAGGCTCTTTCAATGTATTTAATTTTTTTTTTGTTTGAAAGAGCATCTCAGGACGCAGTGCAGTACAGAGTCCTTTTTTTTAAATTCTTACTTTTTTAGCGAAAAAAGGGAATCACAAGTTCAATGACTCAAAAAACGCGCCAAAAATGGGTGTCTAGTTACATATATGACTGTATATATAATAAAAAATAAAGCTTAATTAAAAAAAGGACTCTGTACTGCACTGCATCTTGACGTGCTCTTTCAAACAAAAAAAAAATTAAAATATATTGAATGAGCCTGGACAGAGAAAAATGGATTGCGCGGTTCAGAAAGCCTAAACTGAGAAAAAACGAAAAACATTTTTCGTTTTTTTTAAAATAAGCATATTTTTCAAGAAGAGCTTAACAAAAATCATCGAAAACTTTGACCAAAAACGAGGTGCCGAAGAAAAACCAATATGATTTCTGAAAGAGCAGAAGACGGGCTATCTTCCGATGCATTTATCTCAATTTCGATAATTTTGACGAAAATTGATTTTTTTTGAGTGGGGGGGGGGGGCCTTAAGGACTATTATATGAGGGTACGCATAGGCCCTCAAAGGAGTAGGGCAGTAAGGGAGTAGGTAATAAGGAGATAAGGCTACAAGGGATATAAGGACGAAGGCTAACTGGACTGTAGAAATATGTGCGATATAAGAGTATTAGGCCTAAGGGCTATCTATCTATATACATAATATCGGTTGTCTGTATGTCTGTTGCCGGATGAAAAGTTAAACGTCTAAGGTTATATACGTTAAAGGAGGAAACAGCCGTACAGTATGCATGAGTTCTTGCTAGTAGTGACTATTTTGAACATTTAATAAAATAAAACTAAAAATATCTCTTTGTTTTTTAGATTTTTATTTCATATTATCAGAACTTTTGATCAACCCTAAGTATTTTATTGTAGAATAATTCTAAAATATAGTCATCAAAGAACAGCAATGTGTAAAGAGGAAATCATCTATAATTTTTCAAATAATTCAATGTTTTTAAACTCATCTCAATAATTGATACGGTTTTCTTTTCGATTCTCCTTTCATTAATTCCCAAAAACGGGAAATTTTTTAAAATATATTCCCGTTCTCAATCAGAGCATTGTATCGGAGTGCTCATATCACAATGAATTTGATATTATTCTGGCAAAATCTAAACTAATGAGAATCATAAGATATTAACCCAGAGTTTTTTTTCGACCTTGAAATTGAACACTTTTTAAAAATTTAACATTCTATCCGAATGAAAGCAAATAAATATTGATTGGTACAACAATACTTAGTACTCATTCATGACGAGTTGAGTATGATAATATCGTTTTTTTATGTCTTATCCTAATTTATCTAAAATTATAAATAAATTCATTTACCTCATTAAGTCATTTTAATATTAATAATCATTATAGCTGAATGGATATATTGTTCGACATGTATCCTCACGATACTCTGTCCAAGCCTTCGTACCATCAGCCATGAAATGGCTCTGAGCAACTCACTAACAACTGTTTGTCTCGGATCACCCATCCGATAGCATGCTGACTACGTTGTAACATCCACATACTCTTGTGGATAGTATCGAGAGTTCAAACAATTGAGTACAAAACCTCTGCATCAGACCAACTTTCTATCCAGAGGTATAACTAGGCAACACTGTATACTGAAAGACAGAGGAACATTCTTTCTTCCTTCTATCCATTTTAATATTATTTTTCAAAACAATTTTTTTTTTAGAACACAACATGAACTTGATGACGATGAAATTCCATCAGTAGAAATTCCTATTGATCAATCTTCAACAGTCATCGAGAACAATAATATTTCAAATGAATTAAAATCCAACATAATTGATACTCGTCCATTAACAAAACTTGAAACACCCTATGAACAAAATCCAACGAAAGAATCATTAAATTCATTACCCGATGTTGTTCCGGAAAAAAAACATGATGATTCAGTTTCTCAAACTGAACCTGATGATATTCTTGGCAATAAATCTTTACTAAAAGAAGTAATTAAAAAAAAAAAAACAAGACAACTTTTTCTTTTCTTCGAAAACTCAAATAAATTTTAATTTATATTTGTCTAGATAATTACTCCAGGTACACCCAATACACGTCCAATTCGTAATACAGTAGCAACAGTTTCTTACAAATTATTTTTAATTGATGATAGAACATCAAATTCTCGTCTTATTGAAACAATAACAAATGAAAGTTTTTTTGTAAATGATAGTGATATTTTACCAGCAATTGATATTTCAATTCAATTAATGGATCGTGGTGAACATGCTTTTATTTATTCGGATATTCGACATTGTTACGGAGAAATGGGTTGTGAAGAAAAACAAATTCCATCAGTATCATCAAATAATTCATATCGAATGAAAATTGATTTAGAACTTCATGATTGGAAACATGTACCTGATATTCAAACATTATCAATTGATGAAAGACTTTTTTGGAGGTTTTATTTCATTTTATTTTCTTTTTAAACAAGAGAGACATATAAGAAATCAAATCAACCTAGTAGTACTATGTTTGATCAACTCCATTGAATCATATATCAATGGAAAGAATATGTTAAAATTAACATTTTTCTATTACTAGTTTCATGAAGTTTTATATACTATTCTTCAGGTTTGATTTTGTCTCTTTCTGATCAAAACTTAAAAGATTTCGATAAAAAAAGTTCAATTTGAGTTAAAACTACTGTGATATTCAGAATCAACATAAAAACTGAGTTGATCTATGTGCGACTTAAAGAATTTCTGTAGCTCGTTTTTTTTTCGACAAGAAATTTATTCATGGTACTGAGAGATCGTTGCATTGATACCAGATTCGGATCTGAAAATTTTGAACTCGACGGACTATATTAGTACGCCTCAGGTTCCATACGAAAAATAAGCTGTATGAAAATATCATTTTGACATTACAGTGAAACCTTGAAACTAGTTTAAAGCTATAAAAGGGCAAAATGGAAGATATTTAGAAAATAAAAGCAGGATCTTCAAAGAGTTTATTTTTTACACGATCCTGAAGGGAACCAGGAGCAAATTTTCCGGGCAAAAAAAAGCTCTAGAAATTTTTGGAATTCCATATAATATCAACTCAGATTTTTATGTTGATTCCGAATAGCATGTTAGTTTTCACTCAAATTGAACTTTTTCTCATCGATATCTTTCAACTAGTGATCAAAAAGAGACGAAATCGAGTCTAGTGAATAGTGAATTACGGAATTTTTCAAATGGGTAATAAGAGAATTTTGATCATTTCAATTTTTACATTAAAATATTTATTGAACGATAAGAGTCAATGATAAATATAGTGTACATAAGCTAACATTGTCTATCTGTTCATCGGATCTATATTTGATTAAATTAAACAATCAATTGGTGATTTATATATGGAATGAAACTCCTATAAAAGAATTTTCAAATCTATAATTTCATTAGTACTTTCCCTTATCTATTTATTCTCAAATTGAATCCATTATCATAGAATGGATTGTTAGAACGAAGATCAAAACTTCATAAATTTAGTAGAAAAATATTATTTTCAACATACCTTTTTCCATTGCTATATGATTCAATGAAATGATGCACTCTTCTACTGTTTATTAAAATAAAATCTTTTATTTTTTATTTTTTTTATTTAAGTGATAAAAAACGACAACGAGGAAATTTTTTATATCGTCGAAAAGATTCTTCAACAGCTCTTCAATGTTATCGTAGTTCTTTAAAATTCGTAGATACAGATGAATATCCATTATTAGAAGAAGATGAACGATTATCATTATTCATTGATCGATATATTCAAGTGCAAAATAATCTTGCACAAGTTCATTTATTAAATAATCAATATGAACAATGTTTAGATGCTGTTAATCAAGTTTTAAAATATGATTCAAAAAATATCAAAGCTTTATTTCGACAAGCAAAAGCTTTATTTGAATTAGGAAATTATGATCAAACAATTCCATCATTAAAATTATTATTACAAAGTCAAAATAAAGATGTTGAAAAAGATAAAGTTAATGAAATGTTAAATATTTGTGAAATAAAAGTAGCAAAATATAAAAAAAATGAAAAAGAAATTTATAAACGAATGTTTTCACCTTCTACATCAACAAAA